ATATATATACTAATAAAAATCTGAGGAGGCATAAATATTAAGGAAGTTCTAAGGGAAAAATTTTCTTGCCCCTTTTGCCTGTTCTAGTTCGACTAGCCTGTTGGTTTTTAATTGTTATCCTATTATGATTAATGTGCCTTTTTTCATTTTCCTATCATATTCATGTGGCTTTAGTTGGATTCCTAATTTCTACTATTTTTTTTCTCCTAGGTAAAACTGATAGCCAAAACACCATTGCTGTGGCTGTAGGGACAGTTTTATTCTTGTTTGTTGTCATAATTGTCATCATCATTGTCACTTTTTGTAACAGGTGAGTAGAGCAGTGTATCTTGAATCTTGCTTGCCCTCAATAATTCTGGTGTTAGAGGTTCTCTATTAATAACCCAACAATTTGTTAAGTTGTCTCAGCATTCATGTACTGTTTAGTATTTGAGCTCTGTTGTCATGCAGGGGGAGATGCAGCAGTGGTGAGGTTAGAGGTAAGAGTTGGAGTACCTCACCTAAGCATTGGTGTGCTTTGGCAGTTGTCTCTTCTTACTCCACAGTGCCTCTGAGCTGCCTCTGACCCACGGAGGTCGGGGGAGGGTAAGGCCTGAGCTATCATCCATCAGATGTTTATTGAGCAAAGCAGTGACCAAGATGTAACGAAGCACACATTCTAATAAGCTAACAGCCTGGTTTCAGGTGTTTGTCTATTTTCTCAGACAAGCAAACTAGTACTATTATTAAAATTATGGAGAACGAGATTGGATGGAGCTGATTTAGAGACAGTGGGTAATCATTTAAGATCCGCTAAAGATTTAATAGGTCCTAAATGATAATAAACCTTTTACTGTTTCATGGCACAGGGGAAATTTTGAGGATATTTTTAGTCCATTCCTTCTTTTCCTTCTTAGGTCTCTTGTGTTCATTAACCTGTTTGTCTAGTACTTGTTATATTCCTTAGCTATAGTTTGTATTGGTTATGGAAGAAATTACATGTTGAGTGTCTGTAGTTTTTATGTCTGGGAGAACTCTGTCATTTTACATAGGTTCATCGAACTAACAAACACATTCATTTCTACTCTTCTCACCTTAATAACAGTCATACCTACACCCCCTACATGCACATACCCCTTATTTATATGAATTCCAGCATGTTCCTGCATCTTACCTCACACCCTGGACCTCTATCTCTTTCATATTTACCTAATTATACCAATACTGTCTAACCTGCCTTCCTACTTACAGATGCCTCCTCTCCTGCGAACCTATTAATGTTGCCTAGTTTCTTTTGAAAGTTGGACTGGCGATGTCATCTTCCCTTTCAACCTCCTTGCCACTAGCAGAATAATCTTAAAAGTCATTAGCCCTGTCTATTATTGAAGGGGCCCTGCTTTCTGGTTAATGCTAATTTTTTCATTTATGTTTTCTGTTTTGTTTACTTCTAATTTAAAAATTTATTATTATTTATTTTTTAAAGAGAATAAAAACAAGAAAAACATTAGAAAAGATGGAATTTCACTGAACAAAGTGATAGGAATTCAATAATGGTTCTTATATTGCACATTATTATCTTCAATTAGTTGTCCAGATTACCAGATACATACATGCAAAACTGGTCAAAAAAATTAAAAAGAAAAGAAAAAGTTTAAGCATTAATTGTTCCTTTCAATAGACCAGTAAAAGCTAGCAGTTTTATAAAAACTGAAAATTTTGTTCTTTGAACACACTGTTATCTTCCCAAATGTATAGTACAAAGTATAGTTTTTCTCATACTTGGCCTCAATGCTGTGGATCATTCTAGGTTTGTCCCCATTCCTGAGGTCTGTCCTACTTTTCTGCCCCTGCAAATAGACATGATGTCACTACTTGGCATCATTTTGCACCCCTTATCTGTTACTCCTTGTATCACACTTTGTATGTTAATCATTCTCACGCTTTCTTCTCTTGTATGCTAATCATTTTCAGCACAGGTCATGGCATGCAGGGATTGTATTTTGTGCATTTTTTTGTGTCTGGCAGTGCTTAGCACCAATCTGAACAAGCACTGTAACGGATGCTCAGTAAGCATCGAATTAAATTGAACCATGAGACAATCATTTTACCCTTTCTCTGTTAGAAGTTGCTTTCAGGGCTTTTCCCGAGAATTAGCAAACTGAAGTAAGGACCTAAAGCCTTTACATTACTGAGTATTTCTTTAGGGCCTCATCTTGATTGACAAAGTAAGTAGAGAGGGCAGAGGTGACAGGAACTGTGCTCTGGGAGGGGCAGTGTGAGCAAGGGAATGTGTGATGGGCAGGGCCCCTGGAGGGTTGGGCAGGACGCGCGTGTCACTTCACAGGAAAGGCTGAAGTGTACTCAGCGTACATTGTCCTTCTTGGTTAAATGTGATGAAATGTTGCATGATTCCAGTGCATAGCCAGGTTGAACACAACAAAGGAAAGGAACACTTTTCTTTCTCTTCTGTCATTAGTCTAGGGTTATGATTGTTATTTCAGCTTCTTTGAAGAAAAAAAATGACCCACTGACTTTAGCAGTGATTCTCTGGAGCTCTGTCTGACCAACCTTTCGAAATAATCGTGCAGCGTCAAATGTGCTGACTTGTGTAAAGGCTGAAACTAGTTCTTCCTTCATTTCTGGCTCCTGGGGCTTGTGTGTCCAGGGAGGTTGGGGACAGTGCCTGCATTCTGGGTGTGCTTTTCTCACACAGCAGCACAGGAACACTTGTGTGGTAGCATGGCCAGGGCCAGGAGCAGCACGGGTCAGCATCCAAGGGACAGTGATGTCACAGAGGTGGACACCGCTGTTGGTATGAAGAAATTCAATATGCAGTGAGAAACATTTTAGAGACTTATTTGTGTATTTGCTGTTGCTGTTGACAGCAAAGGTGGTGTTTCAGTTTGCCTGAGACTTTCCTGCCTTGAGCATTGAAAAAGAAGCTCATGCTGGCAGACATGCTAATCCCAGACACACAGTCACCCGGTCAGCAGAGAACAAACTTCAATATGCGTACTAGTTGTATTTATATATTGGAGGACTGATCTTTAGAGGTGAAAATCACTCAGCAAATAACTAGCAGAGCACAAGTTAAACACAGAGCATGACTCATAAGCTCGCTGTTCCTTTAATAGTCATCACATTGTATACTGCAGGATTCCTTAAACACACACACACACACACACACACACACACACACACTCACACACACACACACAAAGGGATCTGGGATCCATTAGAGAAAGTTAACTAATTAACTGCATGTGTGAGACAGTCCCGGAAATTATAATTTAATAAAAGATCAAAGGCGGCAAGAGCAGCCATATTGTGGATTCCTTTGAAAAGTAAAACACTTAATTTACATAAAATACTGAGAAATGTTTCCACCATAAATTTCCACAGAAAATAAAAACAGAAAAGGAATAGCTGGTTTAGAAAAACAGATGCACATAGAATAAAATAAGATCACATTGAAATGGAAGGATTCCAGGCAATTAAAGGAGAGCACTAGAATCAATATCTATCACAAAATTACCTTTCCTTGGAGAAAAACTCTTTTGTTTTCAAGATCTGTACAAAGGAATTACAGCCTCATATTGAAATGCAAAAACCAAAGGAAAAAAAAACAAATGACACTTTTGCAACCAACTTATCTTTTCTGTTTGTTAAATAGGACTTTTTTAGAAATCTGAAAAAGAGATATTCATGATCTCTTCACGTTGTCTTTCTTCACATAGTTGGTTATAGTTACTTTTTCTTTTCCATTCAATCACATCATCCTCTTTTTCTTCTTCTTTTTTATTTGTTCTTCTGACATTTCTCCAGAATTGAGCTTTTTATAGGCTTCCTTACAACTGTGAAGAGTTGTTGAGTAGTGTGGTTCTAGATGGTCCATTTAGCCCAAGAAGGGCAGACTGTGAGTTTAAATCCTGACACCACCACTGTGTGTTTCTGGGCAAGCTACTCTACCTGTCTACATCTGATTCCTAATCTGTTAAATGTAGAGCTCAGATAAAATCTAAATAAAATAATCCATAATAATACTGATACGATTTTATAAAACTTAGCTTCATTACTACCGCCATCCAGGAAGTTACATTATTGGTATTTAAACTAAGTTTAAGTTTCAATTATGGAAAATCTCTAAGCCCTAGGTTATTTGTTTTTTAATTTATTTTATTTTTTTAAAT